AAATCTATTATTGTACAAACATATATAAATGTTGTAGATTTTTTTTTACAGGTTTTGAATTATATTGTATATCCACATTTTTTGAAAATAATATTTTTATTTATCTAAAAAAATAAAAAATAAAAATTATGAACTCACAAAAAAATCATGATTTACTAACTAATATTACATATTTAAAATTTTCATTATAACCACAGGTGCAAGTGATACGTCTTGGCTGTGGTTTTAAAACAACTAAAAAATTATGTAAATATTTATTTTTGCAGGTAATTGCCTACATTGAAAACTCTAATTATAATCACGAGTTTAAAAAATGTCTAACTAAGGTAATTCTTAGAGCGACCGAATCTTGTGAATGCTATTGTTGAGGGTTGTACATATCTAAAATTTACCTTTTTTGTCGCCGATGCTCTGTTTGGTACGATGAAAAAATAGAATGATGGTATTTTAGAAAATAAGATGAATGAAAAAATAGATGAATTAATTTTCCTTCCAATTTACCAAAAATCAATCTCTCCAAAATCAGAAAGAAAATAGATGAAAAGTTAATTATTTATGTTAAGATGTATCTTATTTGTCTATATATTATATATATATATATATATATATATATATATATATATATATATATATATATATTAATTTCATATAAAATTACAATGATAAAAATGTATTTATATATATATTTTAAAAAATTAAAATTTTAAATTTAAATTAATAAAAATATTTTTTTCATCTTAACTAGGGGTGAAAATTTTCGACTCAACACGATGATACGACTCAAATTCGATAGGAATTTTATGACACGAACTTGAAAATGACCTAACACACGAGCAAGAAATATAAAAGACTCATAATTTTATGACTGAACACGACTCGACTCGATTATCACCCATAATATTAGACAAAAAAAATTTTGGTCATTTTTATTTTTCATTCATCCAACCAAACAGAAAGGAAAGAAAGTGTATCATTCTTATCTTTTATTCTTGAAAGATAGAAAATGTATTTTTCCTACTTTCTATCTTTCATATTTTTTATCTTTCCTATCAAACAAAGTATGAGTTTAAAAGACGTATAATTTAAAAGACACAAATTCAAATTAATTAAAAGTGTTAATCTGTGTCAGAGTGATGCATTTATGAATAACATCAAATTTTAAATTGTATTACGTTAAATTCGTGTCGTAATAATACACTATTCATGTCATAATGACACCCCTAATTATTCCAAATGATGCACTATTCGAGCTGGGTTTGTTAGTACAACAAGCATAACGTGCATTCTTTAGTAGGTGGAAGCTGCACATCCCAAACACGAGAATTTTTCGGCTGGTTATACCGAGAGGGAGGATTACTGGTCCGAATAACACGTGGACAGCAGCCTGATAATTGAATTCAACTATTCCAATTCTATTTTAATGTCACTCAGACTCGAGTTTGACTCGTATTTTAAAAATTCGATTCGTTTATAGATAAAATAATTGAATTATTCGAATTCGTCTCGTTTTAGACACGACTCAGAACTTGACTTATTTTTTAAACAAATCAAGTTTAAATATTTTTTAAAATTTATTTAAAAAAGCGAGCTCAAACATGACTAAATAGTACATATATGCATTGCCCGTGAACTTTTTTAAGATAACAAAATAAATAGTACCAAAAAACCAAAGGAAAATGAAATTCATGTTTTACATGAATTGGTTCTCTTGGATAGATGAGGAAGTGTCAAAGGTTAGACCAACCTCATTGATACCAGTTTAAATAATGAAATAATAGATATTATTAGAGAAAAGAAAATCGATGCTTTGAATTAACCAACAAAAACTAAGCATCAGTATATTTTTTTGACACAGAGATATAAACAAACTGAGTTTTGTAAATTTTTCACTATATTTTTTATTCGGTGAGCATGTATTTTTCATAATTATGTTGAACATAAGAAAGAGAGAGTTCAATTTTTTTTATTTTTTTTGTGAAAAGAAAATTCCCTTACCTCACATAAGGAATAAGAACAAAGAAATGCAAATGATACAAATGCGAGTTTTTTCACAATAAATATTCGCTTGCATTGCTTTTCTATTTCCAATTTTTCCCCTATAATGAAGCAGACATCTTTGATTTATTAGGCCCCATAGGTTTAGCACAATTAACATGATGGAAAAAAACTTGTGAGAGTCTGATAGATGTAAGAGTGACAATGGTGTCATCTCGGAATATATTCGTGTCGTAACATTACGGGTTAACTCTTATGTAATTTGTTTAACTAAACTTGTTATGTCATGTCAATTTATTTATTTTTGTGTCATATTTACACTGACCCATATAACTCGTGAATAAAAAAAATTAACACTTGATTTTATGTCTAAAAATTTATTATCACTTAATCGAATTTATATTCATAATTTTTTTATAAATTAAAAATTAACTTAATAAGTATAATAATAAAAATGAGTAAAAAATATCTTTATTGTACAAGAATTAGGTCACTACTTGATAAAATATAATAAAACAATTAGCATTTTATTTTTATACTACTACTTAAACTTGTTAATCATATCAATTTCATATTGTTCGTGTTTGACACTAACTCAACTTATTGATTATTCGTGTTAACGGATTGTGTCATATATGAATTTCTATCAAGAAATAGTCAACTCTAACCCATCAATTTAATATTGATTTTAAGTAATATTTTCGTATTGTGTTAGAAATTACCACCCCTAAATAGATACAATAATACACCACTGAAATTGAAAATTTTTCTTCGTAACTTGATTTGGTATAGAGTATTCTAATGGACAAACTCAAATATCTACTCAAATCTTTTAAAAAATTCTCTTATTGTGTCAGTCAAATCGTGATATTTGATAAAATAAATGAAACTTTCATATCTCTCTACAAATAGATAATTCAAAAAAAAAAGAATATACATAAAATAATTCATGAGAATAAAGAAACTACTCTAAAATTCTAAGATTGTTTTAATCTCTTATCATTTTTTTATAAAACCAAATAAAAAAAGTATAACTATTTTGACATGCACCTAGATTGGAAAACACAAAATCATACGTTTTAAAGAAAATAGAAGATTGAAGAATAAAATGATGAATTTTTAAAATTTGTGGGTAGTAAAAATTTAGAATTTCAAGAAGAATCAGTGACCTGAAATTGTACTATCGATAATGTTTAACTCGAAAAAATCAAAAAAAAATTTATGAATAGGCATAGGATTTATATAATATGAAAGATAAGTGAAATTAGGATTTTAAAAAATACAAGAAATCAAAAATATGGAAAATGAAAAGGAAAAAATTTGTCCACAGCCTTCAAATGATTTGTGAAAGCTTTGACAATGATCGGCAAAGGAAGCAACATAGTAAAGAGAGGCAAGAAGATGCAGAGAACAAGTCGTGGAAGAAGTTTTGAATAAGTTAAAATGTTACTGTTAAAAATTTGGTATAAAATTTGAGTTTTTTCTTTAATGTAAGTTCAGAATAAATTTTGCTTTAATTTGATATAGGTTTAAGTTTAAAGTTAAAGAAATTTTTTAAATTATTTTAACTCAAATTTATGTTTATATTTATATTTAAGTTAAGGTCAAAGATATTGCAACATGCAAAAGTAGTGTTGTATTTTTTTTTTTTTTGGTCAGTCAAAACTGGTGTTCTAAATCTCCATAAAAGAGTTGCCTCAGACACATTGATGTTGGACTAAAATCATGTGTCTCGCATGATTCAAACATTATTGAGGGCACCAAGGGTGGTAAAATGGAAAAAAATATCAATAAACAGTCAATGAATTCTGAATTTCACGAATGTGAACAAAACATGACATGACAACCCACTGTCCCTTCGGCGGGGGGGGGGGGGGTAAGTATCAAACTTTCTTGTCATTCGTAAAACAATTGATAATTTCACAGAGAAATTGACTAGATACCGAAGAAATAATTTTGATACCGTATTTTTAATTTTAATTATTTTAATGAATATTTTTACAATCTTTATCAGTAATTATATAATTAAAAATTTTATTACTTTTATGAATAATTTATTATTTTTATCACTGTTGTTAATATTTTTATCACATTTATGATAATTATTTTATCATTTTTTTATATAAAAAATTTATCACATTTATCGACGTTTTTTATTACATTTATGAGTATTTTTATTACAATATTTATTTATGAGTGTTTTTACCACCATTATAATCAAGGACAAAACCACCTTAAATGTTTTTTCAGTAGTTTTTCAAAAAATTCACACCCCCCCCCCCAAAGTTCTAAGGTCTACTTAAGGCCACATGAATCAGATTCATTAGTTTGGGTACCCTTTTAGGTGGTTAGTTTAGTTTAGGTGTTTTTTTTTTTTTTTTTTTGTTACATTTTGTTCAAGTTTGAGCCGAAAACTCCATAGAATGTAGCGATTGGCCACCAAATTATGTGCTCTCTTTGCCAACAAAATTGCAAAATTCATTTCATCTTCATCTTCTTCGTACAATGAAGGTAAATACACAGACATGTAGAAGCTGGATCACTACATAAATTCGTCGTGGACCACGTTTTCCTGACCTTGCTAAAGGCTTAAAAAGCAGTCAAAGTTTTCACCTTTGAAAAAAAAACATTTAATACATGGTCTTCTCTTTTTTGTTGGATTTATTTTGTTCATAATCAGACAGTTTTGAATCATATAAATCTAGTAATAAGGCCAAAAATTGGTGAATAAAACAGATAAGTGATGAAGGAGTGTTTAGTATTTCTGACTTAATGATGGGAGAAGTAATTTTATATATAAGGATTGTCTTTGATATAGGAAGGTGTACTAAGAGTAATGCTATATGGACCTAAAAACTAGACTTGATAATCTTAACCATTGATTTTACTGTGAGTCTCAACATTTATTGGAACTCACTACCTATTCAATGGTTGAGATTATCAAGTCTAGTTTTTAAATCCATCTAGCATTACTCGGTGTACCAATGAGGACGTGATTGAGGCCGATGCCGGTGCTGGAAAAGGTTTTCTATACGGCCAAAGGAATGCCACTGGTGAAGCTACAGACTCCTCTTGGACTGCAACAATTCCAAACTCACACCATTGTTCTCTCCATCATGGGTTTCCTGTTCATGTTTTTGCATATCATCTTCTTCTCAAGAAATCGTTACGTCTAAACCACTCTCGGTCTTCTTTTTATCGAACTTGCGGTTCACATATCTATATTATTCATCATTAATTCAAGTCACAAACAAAGAATATGATTCATATACACAAGATCACACACAAACACAAACACAAACACGTATATCTGAAATTAAAGGGTACCTAGATGTCTTCAAGTTGAGGCTGTAATGGTGCATTTGGGCAATTTCCCATCAGATCCATTACATTTGCAACCAGTGAGGTAACTTATTGTTTGTCTTCTATATGCAAATCTCCGAAATCCCCTCCATGGGCCATACTAACACCGGTCATTATGGTGGCGATTAAAGGATAAAAAACGAGGGACCGAAAACCCCTCAAATATATTTTTTCTTTAATTCTCTTCTTACAATATCTATTCTATATTCAAGTGGAACTCATTGTATTTAAGTGGGTCTCATTGAAAAAAATGATTTAAAACAAGTTTATTCAAAGAGTGCCACACTTTTGTGAATGGAACGAACTACCCCAATCGGGCTTGGAATTGGGTTTGGGTCAAAGAGATATAATTTATTTGGAACCAATTATGGGTCAAACTAATCGGATTTGAACGCGGATCGTAATTAAATTTTCAACCAAAATTTTAAATTGTTTGCCCAATACTTTGAATTTGGTGCCGAAATTGGGTCTGATTGATTCATTTTACAGGGGCTGCTTCAATCCAAAGAACAACCACCAAAAGTCTATAAATAGACTACCTTCAATCCATTTTCACCCATCTCAATTCTAAATTTAGTATTCAAAGTTTATTCTTCTCTTGTGTTTGTTGGAGTCTTAAAAATTAAAGTGTTCCTTCTTCAAGAACAAAATTCATTCTATTGGGAGACACTTACTTATCAATCCTAAACACCGAGAGGAGAACAATTTGTCTTAATGAAACTATGGTTACACTGGACTCTTATTATTATTATTTTTTGATTTTTTGAATTTTATTCATGCAATTTTGCATCACTGTAAGTACATTACTGTTTCTATTTTAACATTTTTTTTTATTAAATTAGTTCACATATAAAAATATACTTAGTGATTTAAATTTTGGTACAATAATTAGTAATTAAATCTAATTATACACATACTTTGAATAACAGGTCCCTCACTTATCAATAGTGAGTGTCTCACAGAACAATAGTAGATGATATGCCAAAAAATAAATTGAACGAAAAGTGTATTAGACAATATCCAAATTATAAAAAAAAAAAAAAGTGATTATCAACAAAATCTAGGGAAGGATTATGCATAAAAGTGACATAATAGCTCTTCCCCGAACTTGTGATAGTGTTTTATTTATTTTGCAAGAAAGTGACATAGTAGCCCTTTCGATAGCCAAAAAAACAGAGTAGCCCTTTTAGCTTTTAAGGGACAACTAAGCCTCCCTTTTTATCAAATTTCACAAAATTACTAATTTTTATTAGCATTTTTTTTTCGACCTTTCGGTTCTTAATAGGAATTTAGCATTGATTAAATTTTTGATATTTTATCCTCAATGTATTAAAAGTATTGTAATATAACTCTTTCATTAATTTTTATTTTTTATTTCGTTAAAAATTATTTTTATTAACAGAAAAGTCATATTGTAACTCTTAACACATCGGGTACAATATAAAAAATTTAATCTTTAATGATATAAATTACAATTCACCCTTAGTTCAAGTACAAATTAATTTTGCCCTAATTCTACTTGTCAGCCGTGGAAGCCATACTATCAAACTTGATCATCAAATAAAAAAAAAAAAAAAACTTTTGAAGTAATAGTAACACGTGTTTTTCTTATTGCATGCAATAATACCACGTGATTAAATTACATTTACATACCCTTTGCTTTTGGAGAATACTGATTAAAAAATGCAAGCACGAAACTTCGTAGAAAGCCATTCAAGAAGATCAACCACCTGAAGAGTGCATGAAAGCTCAGATCCTCACAATACTATATATTTATATACCATGAACTCTTGCTTTAATCTCTCACCAGTGACCCAAATCCTCAAGATCATAAGTTTTAAGAAGTACCCACAAAACCCTGATTCAGAAATGAACACTGAAACCATTTCTGAATCTGAGTTCGCCGTTCTTGAATCAATAAAGCAACATCTTCTCAATGATTACGAACTTTCCGATGATTTTTCGACGACAAGTTCAAGCAATACTGCACCGGTTGATGACCCGATTTCAAGATTTAGCAGCGAACTTTTATCTGGGAGTTGGGTAGTAGAAGAAATGCAGCTTAATGTGGATCATTCCCTAGAAACGGTAAAAGAGTTGATGGTGGCGCGTGGCGATCAGTCGCCACAGCAATGGACGAGGTATAGAGGCGTGAGGCGGCGACTATGGGGAAAGTTTGTGGCGGAGATAAGGAATCCGGAGAAGAAAGGAGGGAGAGTGTGGCTTGGGACGTACGAGACGCCTGAGGATGCTGCATTGGCTTATGACCGAGCAGCTTTTAAGCTGCGTGGCTCGCGGGCTGTGCTTAATTTTCCGCATCTGATCGGAGCCAAGATGTCTGAGCCGGTCAGGGTGGCCCCACGGAGGCGGTCACCGGAGTCTCCGTCGGGTTTGTCGTCACCCGAAAGTGGGAAGAAGAGGAGGAAGACGGTGGTTGGCTTGGCGGAGAAAGCGGAGTTGGAGAGAGAGAATTCAGTGGAGGTGTCTCAAATGGGCACATTGCCACCGGAGTATCCATTTTTACGTGACTGTTGGTGGAATTGAAGGTCTTTGAATTCATTTATGGAGTTCTTCAACTTCAAAAAAGAATTAAAAAAAAACAGTAAAATTTATGCAGTTTCTAACCAACGACCCCATTGAAATTGTATCTGTAAGGGTTAATGCCCGGTCTGTTGGGATTTAACTCGATTTAAATTCACTGACAAACACACATAATCAAAAAACAAATCAAGAATATAAAACAATAAGAAACAAGAAAGAACAAGACACAGATTTTACGTGATTTGGCAATTTGTCTACGTCCACGAAACTGCAGGAATTTCACTATTGAGAGAGTTGAATTACAGAGAGCGGTTGTACAATCCACAACAAACTCTAATCACCAAAACAACAGGGTTTATATGTCATATGCACTGGGCTGTATATTAGTCCAAGCCTTCGCTCCTTGGACTAAGCCTCAGAATATTTTTCATTAAAAATCACACAATATTATTTCGGGTCGGGTCATCATCCGGATCACATATACAAATTAGACTCCATAAAAAAAAAACTAACACAGTCTAGATGACTATGTTTTAATGTCTTATAAAAACTTTTTGGATAATAGATTTGAAAGGGATAGAATATCAATTTTATCCAGCGCCAACCCCTGGATAGGTTCTCATACTTTGTTTGGCTGTCAACTTAATTCATTTGTAGAACTCAAGGGGCTTTAACCTTAACCCAAGTATTTTTATTTTTCAAACTCATGTCTTTTTAAAAACATCATTCTAACTGGCGTTGTTCGAACAAACAAACATGTTCAAATAAAACATTGGTTGAACCAACATTTTCTTAAAAATCCTTAAAAACGTTGGTTGAACCAACAATTTTATCATTACTATCTGACCCTTTCTCTTTTCTTTCCCTTCTGCCTTCATTTTGTCATTTTTCCCAAATTCTCTTCCTCATTCAAAATCCCAAACCTCCATTCCATACGAAATCACGAGCAACACCACCACCACCACTAGCCCACAGCCCCACCACCACCACCATCACTATCCCACAACCCCAGCATCACCACCATCGAAAACCCACAACCCCATCTGAAACCCCATACCCAGCACCACCACCATCTGAACAAAATCTGGTAAGAGACCAAAAAAAATTCTGAAACCCCCCCCCCCCCCCCCCCCCCATTTCAAATTGAGAGGTTTGAACGTCAGGGTTTATGCTCTTTGGCATTTGTAGTTTCAGAATTTTGACCTTTTTTTTCTTCCTCTGAAATTGTCAAAAATCTAAAAAAATTGAGCTTTCAAACAGAGTGTTTCATTGAGAAGCTATAGACATGGAAAATGTTTCTGGTCGTTGTAGTGAAGATGAAAAAATGGAATTGCCCCCAAATTATGAACCCTCCTCTAAATTTTGAAAACTCTCTTAGTTTTATGTATTATAAAATATTTATATTTTAGACCCTATAAAATATTAATGTAAGTATTTTTGAAAATCTTATATTTATGAGATGTATTGTGCAATTGATTTTTGTTATTTAAATTGGATGGGTGTTAAATTGCCATTAAGTTGTATTATTTAAATTTTAATTAAAATTATTATTTTGTCATTCTTTCCACCATTGATTCCTATAATTACACTTTGACCCCTATTTTTTTATTGTACTCCACAATTTCATGTAATGGTAATCAACTATAACACTTTGTTGGAGTCAAGAGAACTAGAAACACAATGGAAGAAAGTGAAGGAGGATGAGAAAATTCAAAGAAAATAATGTGTGGAAGGATGTTTTATTGTATGATGATGTTTGAATTTGAATTTAGAAAAAAAGTGAAAATTATACTTTAAACTCACTAAGCGTGTGATTTTGTTTACCCCTCTACAATTCTTTGTTTTCAGGACTCACGGGATGTTGAAGGTGGCTCGCTGGGCGATTTAGTTTGATGTAGAGGAGCTGTTGTCTGAATGTACAAAATGATATGTAACATAATTGTATATAGTCTTTTGTTGTTTTATCTAGAATGTAAAGGCTATGGTGTTCTAGTTTGTTGTAATGCTATGTTTGTAAATATCAGTTTTAATGTTAAGGAAAATAGTTTATTTTTGATTTTATTTCAATAAATGATACAATAGATCATTAATTTTAGTTGTAAAATTTAAAATATTTGACATTTTATCTTTTGTTGAAGTATTTTTTGTCTAATTATAACATTTTAAATTTAAGGGATCTAAGTATTATATGCATACAAACTTTAGGGGGCCTAGGTATAATTTATTAACAATAGATTTACCGCAAGGGTCTAAGTGTTATGTGAATATAAATCTTAGGGAGTCTATCTATAATATTTCAAATGTCAAGAAATCTGAGTGACTAAGTGACAAACCTCAGAAGATCAGAGTGTAATTCTCCCCAATTATATAAATAGCATGCATGAAAACGTTGGCATTTTTAAGAAGCTAAAGACTGTTTTTTTAAAAAGACTTTGATCTGACCAACGTTTATGTGATTTTTTAAAAAAATAAAAATTTTCCGAAAACGTTGATTGAAATAACGTTTTAGAAAAATGTTATTTCAAACTACGTCTTTTTGGTATAAAAATGTTGGTTTAATTGGAATGATGTTTTTAAAAATGTTAAAGTTTGAAAAATGGTTTGAAAACTGCACTCTTTTGGTATAAGTTTTAAAAAAACAAAACATGAGTTAAGGAAAAACCTCGTACTCAAGCTTGTACGGGTTGAAAAATATTATTTATATATATTTTTACCATTATACCCCCAAACCTATTCACTCTTACCCCTTCTCGCTGGTATTTTCTCAATTAATTCATAAATCTTTCTTGATGGATAAAAGGGGCCGGTAACATTCGTTAACAAGTGAATCAGAATTAAAGAACGAATGAGAAACTACAATTTCATTCATCTTGGAGAGGTAATCAATCTTTATTTTTCTCTAATAATTTGTTTAGAAAGTCAATTTGGTTGATTTCATTGGTACTTTCCTATGAAGAATTGAAACGGAAAAAAAATTAATGCTAATAAAAATTAGTAATTTTGTTAAATTTGATCAAAAGTGAATTGTCCCCATAAAAAATTGTTTGCAATTAAGGTTTTTAATAATAATAATAAAAAAAATATCAGTTTGAGTCTTGAATTCGAATTTTGACAACTTTTTGAGATCAGATCATGAGGGATAATTTCCTTAGTCTCGACATGAATGATCTACTTTTGACCGAACCGAAAAAAAATTAGTCAAGGTGTGAGTAAAATCACCCGAACATCCTTGACCAATGAACCGAAAAAACAAACAAACTAACCGTATCGCCAGACTCCGGTCTCCGGAAAGCAAAATGTCAGGATTTTATTTATTTTTTTGTTACCACTTGTATTTTATTTTGTTTCTGGGCTATAACCATACAGCACTACAGTCGATGAACCAAACAGCTTCAGTTTATTGAACGGACTATTCTCGCCCTCACAAATTTTCCTTCTACTCTATGAAATTATAAATCATAAAATTATTTAGTTTATTTCATCAATATCTACCCTACTTGCAACTAAGTTCACCCTATTATATATCCACTCCATTAATAATAACCTTATCTTAATCTTTACTTTTAGAGTTTCTTTCTACATCTCACATAGCCTATTCAAAATATATTCAACTCAATTTTTTATTCAAACTGAATAAACAATTATATATTCAACTATGTGATTTGAGAAGAGAGACTTGATGATCTTTTTTCTGCCTTTTCAAAAAACATAGCTTCAGATGTGATCTCTAAGAAAAACTCCAAGAGATTTCTTTCTTTTATATTGAAAAATTGAATGAGAAGAAAACTTTTTTCTCTATGAATTTCTTCGATCAGCGATTAAGAAAGCAAGAAAAAAAAGTGCATGGTAGAATCACAGTACTATTCCAATGATTAGATCGGAAAAGACAGATAAGACAATAACAATTAAAGCAATTTGCATAAAAGAAGCCCAAAGGGAAATTCAGTTGAGTATATTTTATGTATCTGTAAAATTATTATAAAAAAAAAAAAAACCTTAAAAATGAAGATTGAGGTAAATTTTATTATTAATGGAGTGAGTATAGAATTGAATTGACTTAATTACCGGTGGGATGGATATAAAAACATAAACTTCATAATTTTATTATTTATAGTTTAATAGGGTTGGAAACGTAAATAAATTATGGGATGGAAGGAGCACCACCCTTCGTACAAATCATAGGTACAACTTAATCTAAGAACGTTGCTATTACAACTGAAAGACATTCAATTCCACCAACAGTCTAGCAAAGATGGATCTTCAGGTGTAAATACACCCATTTCTGACACCCCCATTCAACTATCACTCTCCAGCTCCACTTTCTCCACCAACCCAATGAAGAAGTTGATAAAACGAAGTAGCTTATGAGTTTTTTATGACCAAAAACATAGCCATAGCTCTTGAGAAATTCTTTATTATATAGTAGTATACTTGATGGAGTCCAAACCAATTTCAAAACTATAAAAGAAGACATACCTATCCCAAGGATCAGAAGAAATTCTTTGTGAAAAGACAAACTTTCTCATATTGGTTCATTAATTATCTCCTACTTCATCTGTAGATACATAAGAGAAGTCCATCAAATAATCACCCACTTAAGATAAAGATAAGATAATCATAATCAGCAGCTCTGAGCACATGCCTATACAACCTGACAGTGCTGCATGCCCATAACACCTGACCACCGAACCACATGGCATAAGTGTGCTGCATGATTTACACTTGGTTCATGCCAGCACACTTCACCACAGCAGCGGACAGCGCACCTTGTTCATGGCAGCACACATTATTGGGACATTATTTTATCAGCCAACTACCTTCTTCCTCCTCTTTTTTCCACTTTCCGACGACGATAAACAGGACAGAGACTCCGGTGACCGCCGCCGTGGTGTCACCTTCACTGGATCCGACATCTTGACTCCGATCAGATGTGGAAAATTAATCAAAGCCCGCGAGCCACGCAGTTTAAAAGCTGCTCGGTCATAAGCCAACGCAGCATCCTCAGGCGTCGCATACGTCCCAAGCCACACTCTCGCACCTTTCTTCGCCGGACTCCTTATCTCCGCCGCAAACGTTCCCCAAGGTCGCCGCCTCACGCATCTATACCTCGTCCATTGCGGTGGCGCGTGAGGGCCACGCGCCACCACCAATTCTTCTACCGTTTCTGGGGAATGATTCACATTAAACTGCATTTCTTTTTCTTCCCAACTCCCAGATAAAAGTTCACTGCTAAATCTTGGAATCTGGTCATAAACCGGTGCAGTATTGGATGAACTTGTCGTCGGAAAATCATCGGAAAACTCAGAATCTTTGAGAAGATGGTCTCTTATGGATTCAAGAACGGCGAAGTCAGATTGAGCAATGGTTTCTGCGTTCATCTCTGAATCAGAGTTTTGTGGGTACTGATGAAACCTAATGAGGTGAGAGGTTCTATATATAACATATATATGATGCACTCACTTCTCAGGTGATTGGATCTTCTTGAATTACTTTCCATAAAGCTTCAGTGGTCATTGGTTATGGAATTTAATCATGTTATTATAATCAGAAAAAGAAAACACGTTGTACTGTTGATTAATATTCAAATCCTATTCGAGAGGTTGTTCATCTTCCCTATGAGTTGGGGTTGTTCATATTTTTTTTTATATATTTCAGTTGTCCCATTAAATGATTGCAAAATTTTTTCACTTACGCACCATACTAATGTTGGATCTCGTGTAAAGCCGCATCTCCATAGAAAGGGTAAACGCATGGACGATCGGCCCAAAAAAACTACAATTTATGGGATATTTGAACTTTTAACCTATCCTTTATAATTATCAAGTGACTGATCTACCAATAGATTAACCCAAAGCTGAGCTACCAATAGACTAACCTTAAGGTTGGGTTGTTCATATTTTGAATAAGGGTTGTGGAGTAATAAAATCCAACATATTTATGGATAGGAACCTAAACAAAATATTTAAACATAATTGAACTGAGCCTATTATTCAGTCTTTAAAATTAAAAGATCCTAAAATTCAATTTTTTTAAAATAAAAAAGAAAAAGTTAATAGCAAAACTAAAGTTACTAAAGTCAAATTCAAATTTAGCATTATAATTTTTCAATCTCTCTCTCCCATCAAGTTCAACTATGATAATAAAAGCTTGAATATAAAATTTTAATTAATATTTGTACATTTCAAAAAATAAAAAATAAATTTATAATTCATATTGAAAAAAATTTCATTTATTATTTCAGCTTTAGGCCCAAAATGTCTAGAATTACCCCTGCAACTCTATTTTTCATGGAATTCGCAATCACATGTGGTGTGGGTGGTGTTTATAATCTTTTTGTTTAGTATCAAATGTGGACAAGCACAAGTGTACAAAGTGCTTACTAATGCGAAGAAGATTATGTTGTCATGCATATTCAACCAAAGTTTTATGTAGTTCTAAATTATTATTCTTCTGACAAAATTCAATATTCCTCTAGTAAAATATTTCATATGGCTAATCAGACCCACGTATGCTATGTCCCCCACCCCGTGTGTGGTACAACTAACCAGAAACTAATTAATATAACAAAGAAGATCAAGACGAGATTGTATTTGTCGAAGAACATCTTGGTCTATTAAGATTTCAACGTGATTAAATACAAGTTGAAGGAGTAGAGATAGAGAGAGGCTTTCTCTCTCTCTAAAAATCCTTTTATATTAAACTTTGATATTATCAAATTCGAATTATTACACATTCTTTATAGTATTGTCAAATTGAATTATTGCATCATTGTTGCACTTGGTTTGTTGCTATATAAGGAATTTGTCCCTTTTTAGGTGCATTAGATTAGGAATGCAATTTCACGGGTTAACTCAAACTCAACTTGAATTTAAGGGTTTTTGTGACATTTTTTTGAATAATTGATGGTTGCTGGACTACATAATTTTTTAGCACCACCTAGCGAAAAATGAAACACCTTCAATCCCACCAACAGTCAAAAGTGAAAATGTACGCTCAGATGGCAATATGCCCATTTGAGACACCTCCACTGGAGTCTCCACTCTCCAACTCCGCTTTCTCCGCCAAGCCAACCACCGTCTTCCTCCTCTTCTTCCCACTTTCCGACGAGGACAAACCTGACAGAGACTCCGGTGCCCGCCTCCGTGACGTCACCCTCACCGGCTCAGACATCTTGGCTCCGTTCAGATGTGGAAAATTAAGCAAAGCCCGCGAGCCACGCAGTTTAAAAGCTGCTCGGTCATAAGCCAATGCAGCATCCTCAGGCGTCTCGTACGTCCCAAGCCACACTCTCGCTCCTTTCTTCGCCGGGCTCCTTATCTCCGCCGCAAACTTCCCCCATGGTCGCCGCCTCACTCCTCTATACCTCGTCCATTGCGGTGGCGCGCGATAGCCACGCGCCACCACCAACTCTTCTACCATTTTTTGGGAATGATGATTCACATTAAGCTGTGTTTCCTCTACTACCCAACTCCCAGTTAAAATTTCACTGCTCAATCTTGAAATTGGGTCATCAAATGGTGCAGTATTGCATGAATTTGCCGTCGGAAAATCATCGGAAAACTCAGAATCGTTGAGAAGATGGTCTCTTATGGATTCAAGAACGGCGAAGTCAGATTGAGAAATGGTTTCTGTGTTCATCTCTGAATCAGAGTTTTGTGGGTACTGATGAAACCTAATGAGTTTGAGGTTTTGAGTCACAGTCACTGATGAGAGATTAAAGGAAGAGTTCATGTGATTCTATTTATATAGTGATTGGTCGTCTTGAATTACTTTCCATGAAGTTTCATTGGTCATTGGTCATTGGTCATTGGTTTTGGAGATGCTGTAATTTTTTAATGAGTATCCTCCAAAAGAAAATAGTATATATATGGAATTTAATCACGTGGTGGTAGTATTACCAAACAGAATTAAAAAAAAACGTGTTACTATTGCTTCAATAATTTTATAAAATTATTTGTTTATTAATTTAGTTAATGTTAATGATACTTGAAATGAATATTTATTTAATCTCAAAAGTAAGCCAAGTGGTAACCCGGATGAACTGTAAACTTAGTTGTCTTGAATTTGAATTTTGACAATTAGAGATAGTAGTCGATCGAAAAAAAATGGATTCATCCAAATTCATTACATTTAAATTGAAGGTGGATCATACGTATTGAACGGTTGATTTATACTGAAATACTAATATAAATCCATACAAGAATGCAAACGATAAAGGACTGAAACTCATTTCCGCCCCCGCCCCCACACCTCCCCACCTTGCTAAAACTAATATATATATAAAATAATTAAGTGAAATACACATTTATTATACATAATAGTTTTGTAAGTTTATGATTGATCAATTTATTATATAATGAGTTTTCATCCTTCTTGCAAATTCATTTGAAAGGTTTTATGAATTTTTTTAATTTTTTCCTTAAAATTATAAAAATTAATTGTTATAAGCAGGGATGGGGACCAAAATTTACCTATGGGGCGAGTCGGGGATTAAAATTTCTTCCGCTAACTAGGACAAACGAATATTTGTGAAACGAGCACGAGAATGGAGACTATTCCCCCCTCGATGCCGCCCTAATCGACTATCATCTTTGTTGGTAATCTCTTGGGACGAGATTGACAAGCCCAGCCTAGACCAGGCTCAAAATTATAGACGATGCCCAACTCAAAATACAAGCCAACAAAAATCGAGCTCATCGCCTTGAAAAACTCAGTCTACTAGTGACGCACGTGAGATCTACATCATAGGAAGGAAATTAGGATACATATCGCAAACCTCAACCACCCACTCCCATCACAAAGGTAATGCCTTAATTAGGGCTCCCCATGATGGCACCTCCATCAAAGTTCACTATGAGGCATCATGAATACTATACTCCCCTATAAATTATAAGTCTCACATATACATGAGAGGCATTACATACATCTCAGCACACTATACCTCTCAAGTAAATAATATTCTCTAGCTACCATCGTCATTTTCAGTGGAGAAGGTCACCCAGACCGAACTACCTAATTCTTGTGTTGATAACCCCTTTTTACTTCATTCTTGATTAATTTTGCATAAACTCACTTTTGCACATCATCAGAGGTTATGAGGTATTTATCACTCGTGAATACTCTGATTCCGATGTGAATGAATTGCTTTTAACCAAATCGAATAAAAGATTAGTCAAATAGTGTAAGTTGGCCAGATTAACCTGACCGTTGAACTCAAAAAAAAAAAAAGAATAGTGATGTTTACATTTAAAAATGGTAACAAAGGCACCAGGTATTGATGATCAATAGACTTATGGTTTTGATAGTATGGTTTCCAATGCTTAAAAGTAAAATAAGAGCAAAATTAATTTGGGTTTGAATTAATTTGACTCTAATTTATTTAATACTATATGTAAGTAGTTGAATTATTAATTTATAAAAGTACAACTACAGTCCAGATTGATCTAATATCTATTTTGTCCAATAGTATAAAATTCATTGTAAAAATATTTTTTCTATTAAACATATTATCTTATCTACACAGCCTTCAATATCAAACAAGTCAACAAGCACACTCTCCAATATCAAATAACTCTATCAATCGACATGTATCTTTCTTTTTTCTCTCCCTTACCCCTCTCAGTTGTCACAAGTTAATTTCGAGTTTAATCTAAACTTAATTATCAAACTTAGATTCTTGTTCAGGTTTGAATTGATTGAAACTTGCAAGCTAGGTAGCCAAAATTGAATTTAATTTCCTAGGAAAAATATCATTAAATTAACCTATAATAGAAATTAATAATCAATCCGAAAATAATTGATTTCTCAATAAAAATTCTCAAAATGTATAATCAACCATAAATTTAAACCCTATTCTAGAAGTAAGTCCCGGGTTATCCATCTTTCAAATAGGGGTAGTTAAGCAATAAAATTAGAATTATTTATAGATAGAAACCTATTCGATCTAAGCTGAGCCACACATTGCTTAAGATTCAGCTCATTTACGAAAATAGCTTAGAAATCTGATCAAATTCAATTCATTCCTAATTTGAGCGGACTATAAATAATCCAATTGGACTGCACTCGAACTATACGAGTTGTTTATCCGTCATAGTCTCGGCCACGCATTATTTAGACTCGTGATTACACTATAAACCATGTTTTTTGTTCAGGTATCAAATGTGGTCAACCACTGGTTTTCAAAATTATTCTTATAACGAAAATTTTCAATATTCCTCTACTAAAATATTTGTTATGGCTGGCCATACCCGCGTCTGATATTACACAGAAGAAGACATTAAGATTCCAACGTGATAAAATACAGGACGGAGGTGAGAGCCTTCATCTCTCTCTCTCTCTCTCTCTAACTTGAGTCAAAATAGAGAAAATAAAAAATATTTTTTATATTAACCTTTGATACTTTTATATTTAACTTGAGTCATATAAGGACCTTTTAGAGTACCTCCAACAATACTATTTAAAATAACTACTCAAAATATATTTAAATATTATATTATCTATTTTAACTAATCACTTTTTCCATTTCACTCCAACAACGCTATTTATTTTAGTTAATCACTTCAACTAACTTTCAATAATAAAATTCAAAAAATAAAAATTTAACTATACATTGTATAAATTTAATCATGGACTACAAAAGTAAATATTACAAAAGATGGGCTACAAGAGTAAATATCATAGAATAAGATATACAGAACTGCACCAAAATCCCCTTCAGAGCTTTAGGGCTCCCAATTCAAAGAGCTTCAGAGCTGATTAAGAGAGAGAGATGGAGTATCTGTGATGAAGACGATGCTGTGAACTGTGCTTGGCGATGAAGACGATGCCTTCTGTTGAGAGAGCCTTCTATGGACTGATTTGCGATGATGAAGACGATACCTTTTGTGGACTGGCCTTTTGTGGAACTTTGTGAAGTGACGATTTTGGCGCAAATTCAACTATTTTGGAGGAAATACCTAGCCTGTTCAGTCACTAGATCCAGCGAGCCAATATTGGCTTATGAATAATAACGAGCGCGATACCTAGTTCGTTGGAGTCAAAATTTGTGAAGTGGTTATCTAAAATATCTAACAAGACTCTTTTACATAGCCTGTTAGAGATGCTTAAGGTGACATGAGGTTTACCGAAACCAAGGCGAATCCAACCCGGAATTATCAGGTGCTTGGATAGAGATTTTTAGTATTTCAATTGGGTTTTGACAAAAAATAAAATAAAAAATTCCCAACCTAATTTAAATTTGAAGAGTCCTCGAGTTTAGTTCTTGAATTTCGGGGCACAATTCAAACCCGTCTTAAATTGACTAATCTAGGTTGTACTCAAGTTGAACACAAATTTTAATATGATTTAAAAATTAAAAAATTTAGTAATACACCAGTGTAATAAGGTAATTGACACTTGTTTTTAAATAGAATTCAAAAGATAAATGCTTTTTTTTTTTTATCGGGATACCATTTTTCATGAACATCATTTTCAAAATACGTTTGTTAATGTTGTTAAAAAACAGTAGAATAAGAACTGATTCTTATAAAAATATTTTTTGGATTTGGAAGTTTCGAGAAGAGGAAGGAAAATCCAGAAATGGTAATCTGTTCCCTGTTGGAATATATCCATAAATGGTAATTTGTTTTCCGATGAAATGAAATTTCATTTTGTTAATCAGTGAAATTATCTCAAGTTTTGATAAAGGATAAGAATCTAAACACTAGTTTGTTTATTGGGTTTGGGGATTTAACCAAAATAGTCCAATGGACCGACCAGTCATACCCATATTTATTTACAGATTTAAGGCCCGAGATTCAAATCCCGGCCAGTGTTAAACAGTGCCAACAGACCCATATGCATGGGTTTCACCAGGACCCATATGTATACATGGGTATCACCAAACCCATGGGGATGGGTTTAACATCTGTAAACCCATGAAAAATAGGTGAATTGACTATTGTATCCTTAATAAATTATTTTATTGACTCAAATCACATCTCAACCCCCAACCACTCCTGTCTTTGAACTTAAACAAACATGGGCATGAATTGAATTAACTAATGGACAATGTAGTTAATTACATGATAATTTTTTGTTATAATTATTATTAATTCATGAGATCTACGTATGTTTATGTTATTTACCAAGCAAGATATGGTTAGTATTTGTGTACTACTCATGTACAAAAGAGGGAGTTGAGTTTGAGAAGAGTTTGCTAAGACCATTCCAATCCCCCTCTTGAAAAACCATCCAAACATGTCCAAAGGGTCATGATCCATATACCAAACTCTGTTTATTCAATAAACATAGGTAGTTGAATTAGTGGATCCAAAAATTAATGAGATTCATTGATTCAATAATCCATATTTGATTTGATAAACAAATTTTGGTAAGGATCACATTGTTCTACACCTAATCACATTTGAGTGTATGGAGAATGATGTTGGGAAAGATAAGTAAGAAAGAACTGACGAGAATTTTTTTTTTTTAGAAGAGAGATTGATGTTGTTGGTTGTTTGACATTGGATCCACAAGGTACAATTTTCTTTAATAGTATATTAACTACCGTGAATTCAAGTATGACTATATATAAATGAGTCTATCATCAATACATAAGAAAGAATTCACCACAAATAAAATTGAAGAAAATATACTTGAGGTGATCCGATTCCCTATTATTGATAGGGTAAAAAGAAAAAGACCAATTGTGGATGAAGGTGCTGATAATCCTTTTCCCCTTCCCCTTTTCTATCCTTTTTGGTGGATTGAAGGTATTTGTTCCAATCCCCTTTCCTTTTCCTTTTCCTTTCCCTTTCCCACCCCTTTCCACCAAAGAAGAACAACTCTCCCTATCCCCCTTCCTTTCCCACTGCACTTCATTTATCCTTAGTCCTTTTTTCCCCATAAAGCAAAAGGAGAAAGTAAATACTTGACCCCTTTGTTCCGATAGCATCTATAGTTTCTGGAACAATGGGATATGCCGGATGGGGTAAAACCTTAATTATTCCTCATCTTACTAAGACTACAATAGCTTAGCATATACAACATAAGCCCTTGGCGTGGGCGTGGGCGTGGAATATAAACATTAATTTCAACTAAGATACAATAGAGCCAACCAAGTTTTTGAGGTATAAGCATTCAAAAAGAGCATAGCTGCCACATCTATAGCCAAAGGCTGGAGGAGCAGCTATTTCCATAAATGAACCACATTTAAGATAAATAAACAGTGGTGTAACAGCTCTGTAAAAAGACTTTTAGCTGCATCACCAAATCTGATCTTGTTCTTGCGAACTCAAGCAATAAGAATGAGGTTCAATAAAAGCTAACACTGTCAAATATTTGAGTCCAAACTTGACTGACTACTTCAATTTCAACGATGCGACACTCTCAAGAACCAGCATTCATGTGTCGTTGGAATTGCTGTGAACAAAAAACTGGCCGATTGGCTGACAACCCATCGTATGATCTCCATCTTGATGTAGCTTTTCAACCCATTGGATGGCGTCTCCTGCAAATTTTTGAAGTACTTTATCAAACACCAAACACAATGGGTCCAAAATGCAGGTAATTGTAATTCTATTCGTCTTCAATATACATAATGGTTTCCATTTCAGTCCGTTCTAACACTATTATGTTTCGATTATTTTGGCGGAAAACCTAAAAATCCAGACAGTTGGTATATTTATGTGTCAAGTCAGGATTTAGGAATATATATATTGCTAATGATGCTATATAGCATTGTTTTACCAGTGGGAAGATCCCTCCCTACCTATCACAAAGGATCACTAAATAAGCGGCTTAGAAAGGACTGTAAAATGCAGAATCATAGCTTATAAAGGACTGTAAATACAGACTCATATAATGATATTGACCAGACATTTGCGGAGGTATAATACAAGTGTGTGACCTTATGAATTACCTCTTCGGTCTGCTTCGATCTTCCTCGTAGTCCATCACTCCACCATGTTCAGAGTAGACCTCCTCATGACCTCGGAAGTCGACGTCGGCCTGCTTACAGGGTGTAACTTCTGCCACAACGTAAGTAAGACACGTCGACCAACATATCCAAACACTTCAATAGACACTTGTTTTTGCAATTTTTTTGTCATTAAACGAAAGCAACTAAAGATTCCAACTGAACAGTTCATTAAACACTACTTGACAATGACAACTGATAAGCCAAACTCACTAATTCTATTTTCCCATAGCATATCAACAGTATCGTACTTGAAAGCTGTTTAAGACTCTAATTTTTCGTAGTTAACACTCGGAGCATAGAAGCAACTCAGTCTGCCTAACAACACATAATAGTACAATAATTTCCCCATGAGATGCCTAATCACTAATCAAAAAATGTACACCTTACAAGTTGACATTTTTTTGCCTTACAAGTTGACTTCAAGATATTAATCTGTGGCCAAATGGGTAAAAACAGTAATGAAGAAGATAAAAACTTCACTCAAACTGACCTTGAGGGTAAGGGACTTCTTCACTTCTTCCACCCTTTCTTCAACTTCCTTCTGATGCTTCTTGTCCATTTCACTCATAGTATCTGCCCACTTTATCTTCTCTTGAATTGATATAAGAAGATTGTCTGAAGTAGCCAACCTGTATTTTTCACTCAAGAGAAATATCCAATATAAGACAAACACACAACAAAAAGAATATCCTCAAAGGAGACTGCAGAGAAGAAACAATATCTTATTTCTCTCTTCTTAGTTAAGTTCATATATAGATCTCAAGATGTTTAAAATGTCCATTTTTTATACAGCAAACAACCTTCAGATAAATCAAGGCTAACATACAAGAGAATTGTTCACAAACATTAATTGATTCTCATCAATGCCACTGTTAGAACAAAACTTTTTACTTCTGATTTAAGACTCTCTCTAGAAAACCTACATAAAAATTAGGCAAATGGGCCCACCACTTAAGACCCAGTAAATAGACTTCAAAAAGACATGCATTGACCTATTCACCCAAAGCTCTTCTCATTTGCCCCAAAAGTAGGCATTCTAGAACCATTTACTGCACTACCCACTTCCCCCTCTCCATCCAACCACTTAGCTAAAAAGTACGATGTATTTATATCTGACCCCGACATAATCTGCGAGACCAAAAGACAAAAACAAAAATCACAATTTCATTCCTCATCCTATGCAATACAACTACTAACCATCTCCTCGGCACATCTGCACGTTGGCGGCAATAAGATCTAAAACAATACAACAATGCATGCATTCAAAACTATTGGTTACAACTAATCTTTTATTTGTCCTCTTTCTTCCATCCGCCACTCAGCACCAACTATTGTCAATATTTATGAAGAGAGTGGACAACACAAATAAAGCCACGTTGAAAGAAGCCTACACTCACCAAAGACCAGCCAAGGAGGATGAGAAGAGATGCTCAATCAGCTCCAACAGAAGAATGGTACCTCATATATACTACGTTTTTATGGCCTCCAGCATTGAACACCCTAGCTCTCATCTCCAATGCTAGCCCCATATGGCATATATAACTGTGTGAGATGCCTCTGATGCTAAATCCTGCACTCCCCTTCTGCAACAAGGTTCCCAAACTAAACCACCATACAGACCCCAACATAATTGGCCACGATAGTTTTCTCTTCCATAGCAACAACAAAGAAGGCACAGGGAAACAGTCCTTTGACACTCGGCCCCAACACCAAAAATTCAGACAGAACCTGTCCATCTGGCCAGTCCTTCCACAAAACTAGTGTGCTTTCACACATCCCCTTCCCTATCCTAAATACACTCTGCAAGGAAAGCTAGATTACCTTCTCCTCATAACACTACTTCTGCACCACAAGCTACCTATCATGAACTTTACCATAATAAACTACTGAATTCACACAGTTAATGAAGCTAAGTTGAGAGACCAAAAGAGAAATTTTTTTTCCCCAATAAAAGAAAGCTCCTTAGATATTGTCACTTCTCTTCCATCTGGCTAGTTTTAATCAAATCTTTAGATAGCTAAGAAATAATCGCAAATATGGGGCTGCCATGAAAAATTTCTCTTAATCCTTGTCACGGCCCTTTGGCATGGCTTATACACCTTCAACGCCATCTTGTCTTTCTTTCTACCTAGTTTTTTTTGGTGTGATGTTCTCAAGATATCATCAGATCAACAATTGAGATCCACACAGGGAAGTTTTTTAGTTGTTCGGCCACATTCTACTGTCTTTTTGAAACAAGAACAATCATAAGATATGACCATCCGAATCCAGATGCATAAAGTGCAAAACAATAAATAAAGCCAACACAATTTCTTTGATGATAAAACCCTCAGTTTGGCACAACATTAGCCCAAGACATATACCAACGCGGACCCTGATGTAGCCCAGGTGTGTTGGACATTCTCCTACAAGTTACTTAACCAAAATCAGTGTTGTGCAATGGGAGAAAGAGGTTTGGGCCTGATTATGTCTTGCTTTGAAGCTACGAAGTTAGTGAAAGCAACGTATCAAAAACAAGAAAAAAAAATTGGGGTTTAGGGTTTCTAAGGATATATAACAAAGGAACAAGGGTTTGTAGCTAGAGTTGGACATGAAAAGTGGAAAGCTAAGGGGTTTGGATGCCATGAACAGGACCCTTGAACAGAATTCAAGGATTATATTCAGTTTTTCTGGCCTAGATTTTTTTTTTTTTTTTTTTTGGAATGGGTAGGTGAATTTTGTTAAACAATCATCTACTCCAAAAACTTAAATTGTTGGAGAAGATGTAACTTAAACATTTATTCTTCAACACGCCTCCTCACGTTCAAGCTAGATTTTAGAAACAACCCGCTAGAATCTTTTAACAATTAGGGTGGCAATGAGATTCAAACACAGGACCTCCTACTGTGCTACTATGTTAAACAACCACTTACTCCAAATATTTAAATTGTTGATGAGGGTGTAACTTAAGTATAGGGCAGATAATCGAACCGAACCTATCGAAATTATTTTTTTAAATAAGCTTAAAAATTTGTTCAAGTTCGGCTTGTTTTTTAAACAAGCCAAGCCCGAGCCGAGCCATGTCGAACTCGAGCCCGAGTAGTTTGACTATTTTACATATAAACGAGCTGAACTCAAGTAACTGAGTTCGATTATCAACCCTACATAAGTATTCATACTTCAACAAGTTTTTTATATAGATTTTATGAAATCCAAGCTCTAATATATCTACGACTCCCTATTTGGAAACTACAGATTTATTTTTATATAAATAAAACTAAAGATTTGACTCACAAAAACCTATATAAATTAGCCAAGTCACTTTAGTAAAACCGAAGAGCTTGTCTAGTAACAACAAAATAACCACATCCAACATATCAAAGCATACTATGAAAAACCCTTGATTCTCAAAGAAGTACAAAAAATATATAAAAAATTAAAAAGTGACACCAACATACTACCCTCGAACTAAACATAAAATATGACTCTAATAAACTCAAAGCTAGACTTTGAAGGTTTCCAATATGTCCTAAATGAAAAGAAAATTCCAATCTTTCTCTTATTATAGACGGGATCTACAACCAACTATCCCAAAAGAATACATGCATTAAAACCCCAAGTATTTCAAGCATCAAGAAATTATCTACATAAGGCAATGGCTTTCTAGAGGTCCAAAAGCATGAAGGTGTGTTGTCATCAAAACCCTAATCCCTCTCTCCAACCACTTACTCATCTCCAACAACATAATAAATCCACCAATAGTTTGGCATCACCAACTCAATCCAAACAATGTAAAAAAAAAAAACTCAACCGTGAATGAAAAAATAATTATCTCCCTTGCCCCTTTACACATACTACACCAACTTCGAATATAATTTCCCTACGCCTCAAATGGAAAATAATCCAGTTAAAAACTAACTATATTAACAGTCCAATTAAAAACTAAGTAAGCTAATATATTAGAGTTTTACTTTTCTATTCTTCTACTTTTCTATTATGTTACTTTCCTATTATGTGGTTTTCATATCATGTTCTTGATAGGGTGTTGCCAACATGTACCCTACACACCACATTCTTTCATACTATCTTCTTCTCTTTCTTGTCCATAACCCCAACATACAATTATTCAAGTTTCAGCTTAATATAAGACTTTTATTCTCTTGAGTTGTGAGAGTCCTTATTTTGGTATACCGTAATTCATAATTGGACAATTTGGAAAATTTGAAGAAGGTACAAAAATAATTTTCATTAAAAAATACTATCAAGGAAAGTTGATAACACTTCCTGAAGGTGATATTCCATGGGCTTCTGGAAATTCGGAGACTGTTTCATGCAGCTTGGCAAGGAAATTTAGTCAACTACTAAAATATTCTCTAGAGCCACTGTCCACAACCATGCACGTTGAAGGTAGTTGGCCTTCCCAAATTAGATGATCACCATCTAAAATTATTCAAAGTTTTCATAGCATCAACAAAAGTTACATCAGAAAAACCCAAAGACTCCAGACAATTATCACCAAGAAACCAACCTGCTTCTCCCCTGCAAGCAACTCTACAAATAATAACAACAGAGTTTCCAGGACCTTGCATCCATTTTCAAGCTGTCTGGAGTGTGGACTTGAGGATACAAACATCACAAGCAAAATGCCGCTCAAATTATTCAAGCTCCAAACCTTGAAGCCCTTTAGGAAACTCAACTTCAAACTAGCTAAGAGGAAAACGAAGGAGCCCCAAATACAGTGATGCAGTTCCCAAAAGAAACAAAAAGACCCTATCAAACTGACATTTCATCTATAATTCGTCAGTTTTTCCATTGCCCACATCATATGTTCCCCATAAGCACCATATATTGGTGACCCATGTCCAAACACAACCAAGTAACTTAAAAAAAATAAGTCAGCAATCATAAGATAGAAATAAAAGAAATGGGAAAAAGATAAATATAGACACAATGTAATTTACACATGCAGTTTTGCATGGATTTCCAGATTTTTACGAGCTTAAATCGACAATTATAAACTGCTCAGAGAAGCACCAATCCTGATTACTCAAGTTACCAAATCACATGCATCTAAAACAACAGCATATCAAGTATCAAGCAAAACTTTTTGTCCAGTTTACAGATTGGCTAATGAATCTGAAAATTATGACAGTGTACTGTATAAGGCTCCAAAATACAATCGCAACTCACTATCATATGAACACAAAATATATTCAAATACTGTTTAAATCAGAGACATTACCAATTTGATAGTGTATGTATCATGCTCCCAAGTTGTCCTGGTCTGAGATCCCTCCCCGCAGCAAATTGCACCTACAACCCAACAAAGACAATCAAATTGAGTAACAATTACAGGGTTCATACTCACACCCTAACATGTCATAAAAATTAAAAAACAAAAATAAAGGGCAGAATTGAAGCAAACTCAAAACAGCAAGTTCAAACCTCAAAGCATCTTCGCAACTGATCCAGCTTCCCTCTAACAATGCCCTACCCAAAAAATACAATAACATCGAAATCAGAGCATTTTTGTCAATAGAAGGCCCACCAAGTTTATACTTTCAATATTCACTGTTCCTTGACAAATAACTTGATCAAAAATATATAAACTTGAACAAGGAGCAACATAAACTTATCTTAGAGAAAACAAAAATGAAGTGGATCACATGCAACGTTAAACAAATTAAGCAGTATCTCTTACGTGTGGTGACTAAAAAAAAAACTTGGATGAGTAAAAGAAAATCATAAAAAGAGGAATTCCAATGATGTTTACTGCTCTCCCAAGGTAAGTAATATTAGTTTTCTCAAAAGTGCATATCAAAATTTCATGTGGTTGTTGTGACTTATGAGTATGAAGTCAGAATACCTACCACATACATGCACTCATTGATGAGAAAATCTTCAAGCTCACGCACATTTGTAACATCCAACTCCTGCTTCAGTACATCATAGGGAAGTACCTGGATAAGAAACCATAAAGTAGAGCTCAGAAACTCAAACAAGTGTCTCAAGGAGAAATCTATTTTAAAATAGGGGAAAAGACTGATAACGTCACAATTGGCGATTCCCAGACAATCAAATCATGTGTCAATATTGACTTTAGTACCACAATATTATGAGTCCTAATTCTTGAGTTTCAAATCAGTAAATGAACAGAACTACGGTATGCCAGGTCACCCAGACAAAATTTCTGCAGTCCCAAAACATTTCAGGTTCCGAACTACTAACAATTCCACCCCCCCCCCCCAAAAAAAAAAAAAAATAGAGTCAAATCTATGGCCATGTTTCTATGCTTTAAGCATAACCAGAGCAGTGCACCAAGTTTGACCAGTCACATTAGGATTGGCTGCCTACACCAACTTTTAAGTTGTTCACCTTGTGATGTAGGACAACTTTGTAAAATAAAAATAGGGGCTGTGAACAGTACCCGTGAACAGTAGCATAAACAGTATTTTTGGTTAGGAATCACTCCTAGGGTTCCGTAGGCATCACACCCAAAATTAGAATTGCATCACACAACTCAAGAAATATGTAATTACTCAAAATTTTGAATATCTCTCTTCCTCTATTATGAAAAGTAACACTAACTATATATAGAGTTCTCCTAATCCCAAAAGATTAGGATTCCAAAGTCTCCTGAACTACAAAAACACTAGGTCCCTAAAAATTAAAAAACTAAAATTAACTAAAACTAGAACTTTAAATTCTAGAATATTCAATACTAGAATTTAACCCAAAAATATGACCTATTCCAGAAATTCTGAATATTACAAAAATACCCCTTACACTAAAAATATTAAAAAGACATATAAAATATTAATACTAACAAATTAACTTAAAATACGAATACAAGGTTCTATATGGATCTTTGTCTTGATGGAAAGTTAATTTCATTATCTTTCACATCTTCGAATTTGTGTTTCCTTGAGCATCTTATGGATTGCATCATTCTCTCCTGGTTGGAGAAAACTCGACCTCGAGTTTTAAAGTGTTGCAGTATGAAAGTCCAAAAACGGTGAACTTGTATATGTAACTGTCTCTGAGAAGCGTTAAGACGATGTCTCCTTTTCTTCTCTAATTGAGGGAACAAAGAAAAATTTGAAAATTGATCTCCTTGTTTGTGTCGTTGAAATTTTCTGAAATAATAAAATCAATTAGTGGAGCAAAGTTGATAGAAAGAAGCATTGGTGACTCTTCATGTAGATTCTTGAAAGATGTAAACAAATCAAGCTCTTGGAACATCATTGTTGTTGGTTGAAAGTCATTAATGGGAACAATTTCACCGGACAACACTTTTAGCACTATTTCGAAGCTCTTAGGTAGTAACGTACTCATCTCTAAAGGCTCATTTGATTCAATACTAGTTGCTGAATTTTTCATCTTGTCAGACTCCACAACAAAAAGATTGTTTGGTTATTCACTTGTTACCTTAGCCTCTGGACAAGTAAGTAGCGTAGTTGCTTGGGATTGTGTTGATTCTTCTACTTGATTTCCTTCATCTTGAATTATTCGATTAGTTGTTACTTTGGGCTGCTTTTGATGAATCTTCTCTAGTTGCACAGTAGAATCTAAATAATTTTGAATTTTACCCTTTTGCGAAAAAGAAACCCTTGATGTACTTACTTGGTGAAGGAAATTTAGGTACATCTCCGTACCAAGTGCTACTTGGAATGCATGCTCTACGTTGTATAGTGGCTGCTCAAGTATTTCTGCCTTTATATTTGCTCTTAAACCAGCCTTGAATCGAGCAATTGTTTGGCAAGGTTCTTCTGCGATATAATTTTTCAACATTAGGTTTTCAAATCTTTGAATATACTCTGTAACAGATAGGTTACATTGTTGCAAATTAATAAGTTGTTTGCACAACTTGCTACTATAGTTTGAGGGCATATATTTCTGTTGAAACTTAGCTTTCATCTTTTGTCATGTGTTGATTGACGACAATCCTAATCTTCTTAAATCTCCTTCAACACCAAACTACCAAATTTTTGCCAAGCCTACAAATTTCATCTTGACAAGCCTTACTCTCCTATCATCTAAAAAATTATACCTAACAAAATAGTTCTCCATAGAAACAAGCCAACTAGAGAATTTTGTAAAATCATCCCTTCCATCAAAATCTTGGATCTCCATCATCATATATCAATATTTAAGCTGCATAACATAGGATTTTTTTGGCTCTGATACCAAACTGATGTAAGACAACTTTGTAAAATAAAAATAGGGACCGTCTAGGGACTGTGAACAGTATCCGTGAACAGTAATAGGGCTATGAACAGTAGCGTAAACAGTATTTTTGGTTAGGAATCACTCCTAGGTTCCGTAGGCATCACACAATTCAAGAAACATGTAATTGCTCAAAATTTTGAATATCTCTTTTCCTCTATTATGAAAAGTAACACTAACTATAAATAGAATTCTAAGTAATCCTAATCCCAAAAGATTAAGATTCTAAAGTCTCCAAAACTACAAAAACACTAGGTCCCTACAAATTAGAAAACTAAAATTAACTAAAACTAGGACTTTAAATTTTAGAATATTCAATACTAGAATTTAATCCAAAAATATGACCTATTCCAGAAATTCTGAAAATTACAAAAATACCCCTTACACTAAAAATATTAAAAGAACATATAAAATATTAATACTAACAAATTAACTTAAAATAAGAATGCAAGGTTCCATATGGATCTTTGTCTTGATGGAAAGTTAATTCTATTATCTTTCACATCTTCGAATTTGTGTTTCCTTTAACATCTTATGGATTGCATCACCTTGTCTCTTCGAAGTTCAAACAAATTTACTACTTACAATGCAACCATCAAACTCAACTCCCCTATAGAAGTGTCATGAAGTTCCAAAGCAGACAAATGTTGGTATGGTTTTATATTGCTTACAGAAAATAGAAACTGCCGACCACACTTAACCAAGCCAGTAAACAAATCGCTTGAAAAAATCACCATCATTCCTGTCAATGAACAAGTTGGAAAGGTAGGTAAATTACCTTTTTTGTCTCAAGGCTTAAGGTCAAGGTGGGCAATGGAACTAGGGTTTGGTTTTAGGAGAATATTTGGGTTGGTGAGTCTTCCTTTATAAGCCTTATGTCATGGGGGATTGCTGATTTTCCCATGAGTCTTAATGATAGGGAATATACGAAGATAGTGGAGCCTCTTTCTTTGCTTAACAATGTTTCTTTGACTCAAGGTTGTTTAGACAAAAGATGTTGGACTATTGACTCTACCACCATTTTCTCATTTAAATCTTTCTTTTTAGTCTTTAATTGATGATTCATCTATTCTTTTGTTCCCCCATCAATGATGATTTAAGAAGTTAAAGTGCCTTTAATGGTGCAAAGTTGTATATGGATTATTGTTAATTAACACTGATGATGTGCTTCAAAGAATCATACCTATGGTTTGTCTTCAACCGTAAGTTATGTGCAAAGATGATTGTATGGGCGTGGATCATTTGTTTTTATATTGCCCTATAGCGCTCTCACTTTGAAACAAGTTGTTTAACTACGTGGGAATCTATTGGATGGAATCGGGAACTATGTTTTCTATGATATGCTTAGATGTTATGGGTGGTAGGGTTTAAATACAAGATGGAAGACTCTTTGGAGTTGTGATTCTTGTGCTATTGTCTGGGTTATTATAAGGTTGGAAAGGAATGCGAGAAATTTTGATAAATGTGAGGAGGTTGAAAACTTATGAGACCGGATATGTTTCTTGGCATCTTTTTGGGTCTCGGTGTCTAAACAATTCAAGAATATTCATCTTTTATGCATTACTATCAAATTGGATAGCTACATGAAGGATGTAGTTTTGGTTTTGTTCAAGTTGTATTTTTTTAGTTTTATTTTGATGTTGTCTCTAGTTTGGACGACTTGTCTACCATAGACTAATCTTTTGTACTTTTTCTTATGTTTTATGTTTAACAAAATAATCGTTCCTTATCGAGGAGGGGAAATTACCTTGTTTGTCTCGGCCAGAGTGAGGACAGTAAGTTGCTTTAACTTGAGGAGTTGATCGGGAACCAATTGTGGAAGATGACCAGCATTACCTACAAATCATAATCATCAACATTTCAACACTGAAATTCCATCTAAATGAGATTATTCATCAATAGAGTCAATACACTTCCACCAAATTCACTAAACCAAGGCATTCGAGTAGGTCGTGGGCTATACTTTAAAACATTGTTTGGTCGACAAGCCCCAAGAATTTCTAATGGGATAGTGTAGAATCTCAATTAAATCAAGAATCTAAATTACATAGATCCTATAATGACACTATAGGGGTCCGACGCCATGGATTTCTTATACGATCCAAAACAAGTCTATAGTCATAGAAATATTCTCTGAAGAATTTCCAGATCATAGTGTTGTACAGTCCTATAATTGTAATCAAGAATTAATAACCAAGCACAATCAACTGACAAAATGGTCCGGGCAACAATAATAAATTAAATCAAGGCAACAATAGTTGTTTGCAACAACATGACAAAATCATCAGCATCTTATCCAATTCCATAAAATCAACATGAAAGTCATGGATGAAGTAAAAGGCACAAACCCCAAGCAACCCCTAGAAGAATACCTCAAACCAAAATCATTTGCATGAACTAATAAAATCACTTTCACAACCTCACTACTTGCACAACTCACAATATCATCAGATACTATGGCTGTGGAACAAACACCAACCAAAAACATTGCTTAAACTAGAAGATCTATGATCAAGAGATAACATCCCATGCTAAAAGATCATCAAACCTATGTCTTAACAAGGACAAAAGCAACAGTAAAATATTCCTAAATTCGACAAATAGAAATTGATCCAAAATTAAAACAACCATTAATATCCTTAACAAGCATCAATATCGACAAGTTCCCAACTCCCAATTTGAGTTTTAGCTCACATCAAACAACATGACAATATGCAACATAAAAAAAATTTGGGGAGTTTGTCAAATAAATATAATGAATACGTTGTTTTCACAATATTGGACACGAAAGTGTGCCAAATTTGTCGTTTTAAACTTACCCTCTACCAACAAAGTTCCAAATCTTTCGTGAAATCATCAAGATTGTATTCACTCAAACCCAATAGATCATGTTATCATTATATACAAACGATGATGGAAAATCTGCAACTATGATTACAGTACATCTTTTTCGGCTACATACATTACTGAACATTGAAAAGATGTCATGCTAATTCTAAGTCTAATTCTGAAATAAATCACATGATGATTTAAACCTCATCAACTCCAACTCTCTCGATTAAATGTACCGAACAATAGAATCTGAATTTGTCAAAACCTATTGTATGACAGGGTAAGTAGATTCAATATTCAACATGTTATCCTACAAAACATAAGAGCACTTAGCAAGTTAGCAGTCGCTATGCAGAACCAACATATGGGCGATAAATATCTTATAATCAAAAAAAAATTTGAACAAAATATCATATTGACAAGAAAAGACTTGTGAAAAATAATTTAAACCCGTTGTGCACTGTTAAAAATTATAATGCTGCATATTGTTTCAATTTTACTTCTCTTTTGACAAAAAGCATTGCTAGTAAAAAGACAGAAAAATTTTCTATCAGAAAGAATATGGCAGTATACAAGCATAAAATGAACACCATAGAAAAATATAATTATTATGTCAAATACCAAAATATAATAAACGCCAACTACAATGATTGTGAAATTCTACAACTTACTCTTGAATTCACTCCATGTTCCATAGGCAAACATACGAAGTAGGTCAAGGTACACAGACATCTCAGTTCCTTGAAGCTGCATATAGGTCCATCAATTAGTACATGAACTAGCAAGTGAAATCAAAGTATGATTGAACATGAAGGTACTCCTAATGCGTTGAAGACAATATTAGCGAGTCTTCCCTTGAGCAAGTAAGGTATATCTTTGTTTAGGCAAAAAAAACAACTACATGAGGACTAATTATAAAAGCAAGGCATCAAGCAGAGTACCGCAAAAAAGATATAATCTTCAAGGTCTACCATAAAAGCTATTCCAATCTAGAACATAATGACGAGAAAGAGTTTGTTTAACAGGCCCAGAGCAGCTACTATTTTCCAATGCTGACCAAGCATAGTTAGGTGTGACCTATATAAGCACTTAACTCCGTACAAACACGCCAAGGTACACAACCAACTATTCTTATCCTATAAGGCTTGGCTTGGAATGATGGCAGATTGGCATGCCAGAACTGTTAATTCGTTTTCACTGCCCTACACTAACTCCTATAATTAAGAATATTTGTTGCATTACTTTGTAAGAACGATTACTTTGATTGGCTACCTGTAGCTGGTACTGCTAAACTTCAAGGAAATAAGTATTTCTATATATTGGCTTCATAAAAGAGGCAAAAGTCACTTATCCCATTAAAAAAGACTTGGGGTGTTTTGTGTGCTTCTCACGCTCACATCATTTTCCTCTAAAAATTATTACAAGTACCACATCAACAACAAAAAAAAAAAATTGAATACTGATTATCTAGTCTATCAACCCAACAATGGTGGCAAAAATATCTAATTCATCACGAATGCTATCAATATCCAATACAATGTCAAACACATTGTAACATAAAGACAGGCTTTAGGCATTACAAGACAAAAGCCCACAAAGTAGCAAAGAAATCAACAAAACATAGAGAAAACATTATACTACAAAAACACAGAATCCATCGGGACAAACACTAAAAACCCACAATATTTCAAACAAACTACTAAAACTTACCAATAGAACTTGCAGATATTGAAAATCGTTCAAACTCACCCAAACCATAATCAAAAATATCAATCACAACCTATTTAATTCCAAACAAAATGTAGAAAACATTATAACCAATACAAATCACTGTGTTTATGAATAATGTAGAATTTCCAGACCTCAAGCACATTGGGAACGGCGAGAATCTCGGAGAAGGCAAAGAGAGAGGGGTGTGAAGTGGCTTCGACGATGATATTCGCGAGCGACGAACCCTTATGTGCCGAGGCTTGCTTGACGAAGTACTCGATGTGCTCTGCTTGCTTTTGTTCAATATCCATCTTTAAATTTACCAAATATGTGTGTCTATTTTATATATAAATATGGCAAGTTAGGTATAACAAGGGTTTGAAACAATTGAATGGAGAGAGAAACTAGGGTTTTGCAATTTGATTTCCAAAGAAGAGGGAGAGAGGGAGAGAGGGAGAGATTGACAAAGAAGAGGGTTTTCGGAATTCAGAGTGTAGGAATAGAATTTGAGAAGACTCACCAAAAAGGGTCCTGAGAGAGTTGTAGGAAAGAGAGAGGAAGCCCTTCGCATATATTGGCTTCTGCTGTGTGCTGACTTGGGCCGGAGGTTTCTTGAGACTGAGACCGTCCTAAATATAGTTTGAGTATGTAACACTTTGCTCCCTTGCAGTTTAAATATAACCACAAAAATTCCATGTATTTTTTATTTTTGAATTGTGGACCCGTTAATGTTAGTAATAAAATGACCTTGATGCCCCTATGTAATTAAAACATATGTGATTAATTTTTCATTAAATTAAAACACACCCCCACAGATTCATTCAATTGGCACATAAAAATCGACTAGCCAGCTTTTTTTTTCCCCAACTTACACATAAAATTGTAATATATATTTTATTGAAATAATTTTTTAAAAATAAAACCCCAGTGATGGATTCGTGAGCAAAAAATAATGAATTTGTGAGCAAAAGTACTATGATGAATTTTGTGAGGGAAATGGCATGTGGCGGTTTGTGATTTGGTGCTTATGATGATTGGCGGTGCTGGATTTGAAACTTTTGGCACTTAGATCTTCTAAGCTGGTGAATTTTGAGCTTCTACGACGATGGATGTTAGTATACAATGTGGATGGCATGTGGTGGTCTATGAGAGTTGAGTCTTGCTAGTGATGGTGTGTGATGTCTCTAGTGGGCAGGGAAGGAACGAGAGGAGATGAGGGGAGGATACAAGTGATTAGTAGTTGTGGGCGATGGAAAGTGGTGGTGGTTATGGACGGTGACGTATAAGAGTTGTAAGATATAAAGAGAGTGGGAGACTGAGAAGAGGAACGATCGTCAAGAATGGGAAAGGATATAGTACCGAAAGAGGTATCGTATTAAAATTTACAACCATTTAAAGTTAAATTATAATTTTTTTGAGGTGTAAGTTATAACCTTTAAAGGTTATGATCGATCATGATAGATTGTGATTGATAGCGAAATTATAATTTTTAAAAGTCAAGTTATAGCTCATAAGGAATAAGTTACAACTGCTCAGGGGAAGTTCATGATCGATCATATGTATTTGTGATCGATCATGATCTCTTTGATCGATTATGTATTTTTCCTGACCAATTGTAATTTTATCGTAAAAGTAATAAATGATGGTACGGTATCAAAGACGGTGTTTTCCACCAAAAATAAGGGCATATTTGTACTTTTGCAATGAATTTTGATGTTGACAAGTGAACCAGACAGACCATCAAGTACGAAAAAATATAGAACCACCTCCGTAGGTTAATGGAAATTCATTCACAACCTTGTTGAAGTTAATTCCAAAATTACTCATGTGATACCCATAATCCTTTTTACACAATACATGCCTCTCTCTAATCACACACAAAAACGTACACCACCCCGACATGAATCCACCAACATTTAACCTTATTTTTTATCATTCTCTCCACCCCACGCCTTCTCTTCCTCCACACACAACCAACAACACCCTTATCACTGCATTATTGTCACCATCACACCCCGCGGTTAATCACCCATATATACAAATACTTGATTCTAAACATCATTATCGTCATTAGACATTAACTAAAACAATTAAAAAATAAAAAAATAAAAATTTGAAAACCATGTCAAAATGCCCACCAAATTATACCATTCAATTGAGGACTAGTTTTGACTCACTATCCAAGGAACACTTGAAAATATGATTGCTACTAAATTAGGCTAGATAAGTATATAAAGGATTATGATCCAAAAAAAAATGTCTAGGTCAAAATGTTTAGATGTTAACAATAGGCATGCAAATGTGAGATTCAACGATGGTTCTAATGATGTATGAAAATTCAATATGAAATACATTTTGCCTTGAGGAGTAAGAGGAAATACTGGATAGACCAGTTTTATTTGCACCAAAAATGTTATTTTCTTTAATGGGGTGAATTTGGAAGCTATATGGATTGTCGGTAACATGAAAATTATAGTCCAATCGATCAAATTACCACCACTTTCATTATAAACTTGTTGTTCTTTATACCCTGATGACCAATCATTGACGGTGCATAACTATAAATGATTCTCTCTTTCAAACTCTTTTATATTCTCTTAATCTTTTAAACATGTATCCATTCTCCCCAAATCTAATTTCATAATTGGGTATGCTGAATAATAAATTTATCTTTATTCCCTTGTTAGCCATTGCCATAAAACAAAGTTAACCATCATTGTCAAGTTCTATTAAAGGTCGAAATTGTCGTGGAATGATTTGGGTCAAGTTGGTGGGACTAAACATATTTTTTAGCGCCTAAAGTACGAGATGATACCTTAATTTCGGGGCCGACGTAGATGCAGTGGGGTCTTTTTCGTAGATAATTGTGTGGTGCTAATAGAGGATTAATGTGGTATCTGAAGTGATCAATATGGTTTTGAGATTATTGAAGGCAAATATGGTTTTTTTTTTCGTGAACATAGGTGAAAATCGGATACTAACTCTAACTATTCACTAATAAATGAAATTAATCTAAAAAATATTAAAAAAAAAAGAATAACAATGAAATTAAAACTAGACATTTTTTGAATTTGACTCAATGTACTTATTCTGTCTTTATATGGCGGTAAGGAGAATAGTATTTCAAACACCAAGCCGATTTATACACTAATAATATTATTAGAACATAATTTAGGAATTTAATATATTGTAATTATCGGATAGATCATGTTGGGACATATTGATAATTTAACGCTGGGACCCATCAACAATCTAATAGCCACAATTATTAAGTTTTTAAATTATGTGTCAATAGTATTACTTTAATTTATATGCGTTCAATTTTAAAGGAAAAAATTTCTGCCACATCCTTTCTATTTTCTTCTAAACACGACCATTATTATCAAAAACATCATTGACATGTCTTTTAATTTATATTTAAACATCACTATACACCCTACCATTAAATCATCATTTTTGACCAAAAAAAATCAAAAATATCAAAAATGCGCCTATATAAACTCAAAATAATCTTTTTATAAAATATTTAATTAAAATTCTAGTTGATTAAAATTTTTTTTCTACTTATTAAAATTCGAGCAAATTAAAATTCGATTCAAGCTAATTAAATTTTATTTTTTTACGTATTAAAATTTGAGCATATTAAAATTATGTTTTTACGTATTAAAATTTGAATCGACTTGAGCTTTATTTGAATTGTTAGCGCCGATTAAGATTTATTTCGAGTCGATTAAAATTTATATTTTTTATTTATTAAAATTCATGTCAATTAAAATTCGATTCATTAAAATTTGAGTCGATTAAAATTTATATTTTTTATATATCAAAAATTAGAGTTGATTAAAATTAAATGCGAGTTGATTAAAAATTAATTTGAACCGATTAAAAGTAATTTTTAATCGGCTCAAATAGAATTTTAATCGGCTCAAATTTTAATGTATAAAAAATATAATTTTTGATCTACTCGAAATTTAATACGTAAAAATAAATTTTAATTAGTTAAAATCAAATTTTAATTGGTTCAAATTTTAATACGTAAACAAATTTAGAAATAAAAGGAGTCTTACTAAAGATATGTTTATTTAGAAGGGGTGTAGATGCAATTTTTTTTATGACAATTTAGTAAAATTGTATTTTGGTTAACATTTTTAATCGGACATAGTGTTAATAAAGATTTAAAAAATAGAAATAGTGTTTTTGAAGATATAATAAAGTAATAAACTAGAATGAGTGTGACTAAAATTTTCTCATTTTAAAAACATTAGACACGGGAGAATCCCGTGCAATTTCTTGAAACTACGAGGGTGTCAGTGTAATTTTCATTTTTCAAAAAGTTCCGTTCACAGATCTCAACCAGTCTTTTTCGGTAGCTCGCGCTCTTTCTGTCTGTCTGTCTGTCTGTCTACCTCTCTCTCACACAGACACACACAAATTGCCGAGAGATGGCGAAACCTTTGCCAGATTTCCGTAGCAACCAACGACGATGGCTTCGGCGAGTAAACAGTACGTCCTCTTCATCTTACTCTGCACTTCCATTTTCAGTTTTATATTTACTCCTACATTAATCTTGAATGCATCGACACCCCCACTGGGCCCCACACACATGTCCACCTTCAATTGCAGACCTAGGTTTCTCTAAGAAAAACAATACCCGTTCTATTTACAATAAATTGTCTGTTTGGTGGACGAGAAACGAGAGGAAAAGAAATAGGAAATTCGAATAGTTAATTTTTATTGGGCTATGCGGCTAGGTGCCTGAGATAGTGGCGATCTAGATCTTCAAAGCTAACAGAGAACTGTCTTGCTGTAACCCTTGGGACTTTAATTTGTTTTGCGAGGCCTTAATTAGGAGAGAGCGAAATTTTATGGTGGTTGGTTGCTGAGTACCAATAGCCTTGATTTATTGTTAAGCTAACTTGGTTGGATAAGTTAACATTTGAAAATAAGGTGCCTCAAATTTTGAATTTCTTTGTCTGAAATACCCAAACTAATTATCTAGGTTTGGCCAGTTCCTTACCACAAGTAGATTCAAAAACACCTCTTTAAAATTTTGGCATTCTTTTTCTATCAAGCTCAAGACATAAAGTTCAATATCAACAATATCCATTTGCTAAACCTGCTTCTCTTGCCATTGTGAGAGTTCAATTTGTCCACAACAATCCCACTATAGACGGAAGTGAACACATTGACAAGGAACAATCCCAAATTTTTACATAGGTTTTGAGATCTCAGCATCACATTAGAGGATATCATATTTGGATGGTCTCAATATTTTTCATTCGTTGAAAATTTAGAAAATGGGTTGGGTATT